TAAAATTGTAGTTAGGCTACTCCGGCTCTAGCGGCCTCATATATATTACGCGCACTGTAAACAATCTTTTGACAAAAATAATCTATGGTTAAACATCCCAAAAATGTATGTTCAGCGCGAGAGATTTTAATAAAAAAATTTAAAGGTTTAACATTATACATATTAGTTAAACTTATTTCAATTACGGGAGCCTTGACCACGACTGCTGCAAAGCATCCGAAACGTCGGGCCGAAGTTAAAAATCATTTTCAAATAAGTTTAACTAATATATCGCGTTTTAAACCGTTAAAGTGTTTTATTTAAAAGTGATATATTTGTCTATCAATTTTTTAAAGAATAAATGTTGTATGTAATAAATGCCTTTTTCTTAGTGTCGATATCTTTTTGTCTTTGCGTTTCACGTGAATTCACTGCGGAACCCTAATAAAGAGTTGTATACGATGCAACAAATCATTTAGACTATGGGCCACCGGTAGCACCTTAAGACGCGTCGCACAATGATTTAGTGTTTGGAGTAAGGGTGGTACTTCTTACGGTTCTGGTATTTTTGAATATAAATTTGATTTTAATAAACGTGACATTTTAAACGGGTTTACATTTTAACAAATGAAAAATACAATTATCAGAATATTTGTCTGTAGTTCACATTTAATTAAAAACCATTTTAACGGTTAACAACGCGAAAGCTTCTGACTGTTGTCATATCTAATTAAAAACAATAGTCCACACGTATATTTCGTGTTTTAAACCGTTGCTTTAAATACAATTAGCGAGATGATTTTTTACAGACGAGTATTCTCCGAATAAAATAAAGTAACCTAGTCGTATAATATCTACCTAATTAAGATCTAAGAGATGTGACGTCACACTACACAATTTCGAAATTCAAAATGTATTTTTTAAAACAGCCTGTATAATCATAAGGTGTTACACCAATTGACTTATATTTCACTTCTAAATATATTAATATTTATTATACAGGAGAGGGTAAGCTCACGACTTTATCCGATGTATACTTTAACTCAAAACAATAGAGTCGAAATTCCAATAAATGTTTGATATATTTTACACATTTGCGTTTCGTTTGAAAATACACCGTATTCCCTTAAAATAAGTATGAAAATTGAACGTAAGTTTATTTTTACACGAATTGATAAGTTGGATTTGTACTGGTTATAAATAAAACGGGGTTTTTGCATCGGTTAAGTAGTTGTGTGTCTTGAGACTACATTTTATATGGATTTAGAATACGATTGATTTAAAGATGGACACATTTCTGTGGCCGTTCCACTTACAGGAAAGTGGTTGATCAGACTTCGGTCTGCCCGGCCGAAATAGTCCGTTGTAACCCCGTGATTCGAACTCAGGACGTGTCACCCTTAACACAATGGAAACCGGAAAGCGAGAATTGGTTTCGGTCGAAAAGGGTATCGAAGTGTCACCTGTCTGTCTTAGTCTGTTTTTTATGATAAAAGAAGACATGTATTGTCTGTAGATTACGTGTAAACCATAAAAAAACTGTTTTTATACGTGAAATATAGTCTCTCGTAACCGCGGCTGCTGCAAAGCACCCGAAACGTCGGGCCGTAGTTAAAATAAATTGTAAATAAGTAAACTAAAATATTTTGCGTTTTAAACCGTTTAAATGTTGCATGGGGTTTACTTGTTGGAAGGTGAAATACCCCAGCCATATCACATCTTAAGAACATGCGCCGTCAACCTATTATAGCTTTGGATAATCGGAAATCCACAGACTGAAACCGGATCGCGGCTTTCATCTGTGGATGGTGGTTTACAACCTGAACGAAATATGTAGATTTCCAGACGAAGTCCAACATATTTCAGAAAAATCATAAATTGTTGAAAAGGCTGGGTAACAACAACCGACCCAACCCTCGATAACACGCCATACATCGCTACCATTAGTCTAACGAGCTCATTTTAACACACACACATTAAAAGGATGTACAAATCGCACATTTAGGCCAGAAATATTTATTTTGTTTTATCGTATACCACCATTTGATTGTAATACAATTCGTAAAACTTATATGAAACAGTTCGAATTATAATTATCTCTGTGTTGCCAGTGCACAATTTCGAATGACCTTGTAATTTGTAATCACATAGTTTGCCTTATTAAAATTTTAATTCTCATAGCTTAGCTAGACTAGTGTTGTTTTAAAATGCTAAAAAGGAATAAAAAGTACTTCAAAACTCCGTCCACTTTAATTCATCACAGACTGGCCTGATAGTAAACAATACGGATGCGCTTTCATTTTCAAGTACGGTCAGCAAAATAGATTTAAACCAAACACTTTCAATAAAGAATCCGAAACGTCGGGCCGTAGTTGACTCGTAATACTTTGTGTCGTTTAAAGGTTTAAAGACTAGATAGTCTTACGTCATAGAATCCAACGATCTTTATAAAGGTTTGATTTTAATAAAACACTTTAACGGTATAAAACGCGAAATTGGCCTGGCGTTTCTGATGCTTTGCAGCAACAGTGGTCACGGGGAAATAATTTCCAAATAAATTTAACTAATATACATCGCCTTTTAAACCGTTAAAGTGTTTTATTCAAAAGAGTAGAACTCGGGTAAATTACAAACAGTATTTAGGGTTTGATGTATTTAGAAACATTGTGTCTCGATGGGAATCGAACTCAAGGTCTATTTATTATTAATAACATATGTAACACATACATACACAAGATAAGAAACGAGATTATTATTATTTATTACCTGTTAAGTAATGTTTAAAAATTACCACTAACTTTTTATAACAACATTTAATATAAATAAATGTATTTTTTACCAACCGTACATTCATATTGTTTTGTAGCAGCCCGCTAAACATCCCTCCTTGAAGGGATTTAGCCATTACTACGAGATGTCGATCGAGATATTTAACTCGACAATAATTATTATGTTCAATCACCACTTATGCCATGCTGAATGATAATGCTGAATTATAGTAATATTAAGTTTAAATTAAATAATTTAAACAGTTTAAAACGCGAAGTATATTAGTTAACTATTGTATAATTCGCTTATTAATATATAACTAGCGGACCGTCCGTAACCTTGGTTGCCGCCAAGCATTTCGAAATTAAACTTACCTAATATGTTTTGTGTTTTAAACCGTTTTATATTTTATTTATGTCTGTACTACTCGCTAAATACAGATAATACTTAATATAGTTAAGTTTCATAGTATTGTGTTCACTAAAATCTGTCTAGTCCGTTTTAGATGTGTTTATAAAGTCAAAGATAAAAACTCTGTCTCTGAACTTAATTAAATGAAAAAAAAATAATCTAAATAACTCCTACATTTTAGAATTAGCAAAGTAACCGATAGTAGTGGTAAATTCTGATTGATAAAAATAACTCCCAGCGCAGTGAATCAAAGGGTTTTTCCCCGGCACGCGGACAAACAGACAAACATTGTGTATACCGCATCAATACCTTTGGGTGTCGTCCTTTATGAATTTGCCACGAACAATACTTTTGTGAAGAATAAAGTATTAGCAAACAGAAGTGCTCGTGGGTCCAATAGTACTAATATTTCGACGGGTCGTGTGTTTGAACCCTACCTTGTCAATGTTTCTTATCAACTTATTATTTTCTGAAACACGTTGGACTTCGCCTGGAAATCTAAATAATTAATAAATTCAATTGGGTTGTAGTAATATCAAATATTCATTCGCGTCACGAACCGAGAGCGCAGATGAAAAAGCCGTGAATACTGTCTATAGTTTACGCGAGTAGTACACATTTAAATAAAACACTTTAACGGTTTAAAACGCGATATATTAGTTAAACTTATTTGAAAACTCGGCTAAACTTCGGCCCGACTGTCTGAGACCGTCAGTCAGTCTCCCCGTGACCACGGCTGCTGCAAAGCATCCGAAACGTCGGGCCGAAGTTAAAAATTTTAAAGCCGTGAAGTTTAATCCCGTTTTGCTTTCAGTCTGTGGATTTCCGAAATTCTAAAGACAAAATAGATCGATCGACATCTTGTGAAGATGTTATATGGCCGGGTATTTTACCTTACTATATAAAAAAGAAAGTTTCATCTTACGAAAGGTGTTTAAGTAAATATTAAGTTAATTTAATAGTTATTATACTGCTTTACATATATAATTAAAGCTTTCAAGAATACATTTAAAATATTAATAAACTTACTGGAACTTGAAGTTTTGTGTCGCTAATACCTGTAAGAACAAGATTAAATATTAATTTGATATATATTAATATTGTCTGACTCCGCTGGCGCAGCGACCCAAAGTGGATCTTGGCCTTCGCAACAAGAGAACGCTACTTCCGCCGATCCTGCGTCACGGTTAGGATCGGATCGTATAGTTATTATCATATTGTTATAATATCTATATATTATATAAATATTGTATAAATCTTTTATTTTGCACTTAGCAATTTTTGTTATACGTAAGTATGTTCTTTGCGACGTTTAACGTGGATACTGCACATTAGATTTACACTTTAAACGGTTTAAAACGCGAAATAGTTTTATTTGATGGTGGCAAATTAAATTTTGTAATTAATATATTTTTTCGGTTTCGAATGCTTTGCACGAGCCACTTTTAACAGAACACTTTTAACAGTTTAAAAGGCGAAATGTCATATAATAAGTTTAACTAAGCAACTTCGCGTTTTAAAGCGTTTTGTGATTCATTTTAATGTGTCCTACTCGCGTAATGTAGGTACAGACAATATTAAAGTCTACAATTTATTGAATCTTCAAATATACCGGTTTAAAAATTTCATTTTCATTAATAAATAAAAAACTTTAAAATAAAACACTGTAACGGTTTAAAACGCCATATATTTTAGTTATATTGTTTTAACATCCGAAACGTCGGGCCGTAGTTAAAAATAATTTCGAAACAAGTTTAAAATATATCGCGTTCATTAACCAAGTGTTTTATTTAATTGTGTACTACTTGTAGTTAACCTTCTAAAAGCTTCAATAAACTCACCAGAGCCAAAGAGACCTGAATAACTGGCTAAGTTCTGGAGACCATCCCAGGTTTTTCTGTAATTTGGATTAAAAAATATAAACACGGAGTCTATAGAACTATATTGAAAATAATACTAATAAATAGAATAATATTGTATTGTTCAATAATTATATACTCGCGACCCGCCCCGACTTTGCTCGGGTGCAATGCTAATACTATATAGTGATTTTGAATGTCTAATAAAACTAAATGGTTAAACATGCTGCTTAGCAGTGCGCTCAGCACCTGAGGTCGTAGGTTCGCATACAAGTCAAACTGTAATCATTATGCTAATATTCTATATAAATAAAACACATACGGTTCAAAACGTAATATATATTAGTTAAAATTATTTGGAATTTATTTCAACTACGGCCCGACGTATTGGTTGTTTTGCAGCAGCCGTGGACGAAAGTTAAAATAATCTTCAAAAAGTTTAACTAATATGTATCACGTTTTAAGCCGTCAAAGTGTTTTGTTTAAATGTGTAGTACTTCAGTACAGTATTTAAAAATCGTAATGTTTAGAATTACATCATGTATGGACATACTAACTTAAAAGGCCCCTCGTCACTTAGCTGACGTTTGATTACTTGCATCTTCTTTATCTTATTTTCTTCTGGCTTAGTCACTTCCAGTATAGGAGAGGACTTGAAGACAAGGAGAAACGCCCCCACAACAGACACAGAAAATAGTACAAGCAGACACGCCATACAGGTGTATTCTGATGCGAGGACTTTCTTTAATCTGTACAAAAAGTTCATTTTGTCGCTTCATAAAATAACCAATTCATTTGCGGGGAATTGTATTCGTATTTATAATACATTGCCAGTTGAGGTTGCAAATTTATCAATAAATAAGTTTAAAATGTCACAAAATTTAGATTGTTTCAAGAGGTGTATTATTGTTTGAACAATTTCTTTAATGACAATGATGCCTGGAAGTAAAATGAATTCCTTAGGTTAATCAATTCACAAAAATGTATTATATTAAAGATATGTTTAAAAAAAGGACTGTGTTTCTTAGGTTTTCTTCTCGGTCATGTTGCTCTTTGGAAAACTCTGTAGAATCACGACAGACAGACAGACAAACATTGTTTGCCAAATACAGATAATTTTTAACATTTTACAGAGAATGAAGTATACTTTATTTTATTAATTTTTTTTTTATAAATAGTGAGAAAATTAATAGTTGTTACAGAGTAGTTGTTTGTCATCATCGTCTTATTAATCTTAAACTAATGAGTTAAACAGCGCCATCTACAGTGTAAAGGTTGCTTATATTTTATGCTATGAAACATTACGTCATTACTAACGCACAAGAAACGCATGAACAGGTGTCGTCTGATTTCTTTGCTTTCGTTCTCTGAAAATAGAAAGACGTTTGAGAACATTAATATTTTGCACATGAAGGCACTATATAATTTAAAAATCAAAAATAAATTGAAAAAAAATACTTTCGACTTTTAAATTATTTCGTGCAACAGCACGGATCGCTGACGATGCCGGTTCAAGTCCTGCCCGAGTCGAAAATTTTTTCAATTTATTTTCGATTTTTAAATTATATAGAAAGACGTTTACTTAAAATTGCATTAGTATATTACATATTGTAGTTCTACATTATTTTTAACCTTATTTTTTACATCGCATAAAAGCAAATGAAAAATCTATCCAAGATTTAAAAAAATAGCAATGCTAGGTAAATATATTTACGCCGTCAAATCTTCAAAACAAAATGCACAGATACGTTTTTTTAGCACAAGATAGTACTAAAATAATATGGGCTTTTAAATAAAACACTTTAATGGTTTAAAACGCGATATATAATACATGCTTTGCGGCAGCCGTGGTCCCGGGGAGACAGGCACCCGAAACGTCGGGCCGAAGTTAAAAATAATTTTAAAATAAGTTTAACTAATATATATATATATATATATATCGCGTTTTAAACCGTTAAAGTGTTTTTTTTTTGTTTAAATGTGTGCTACTCTCGTAAACTACAGACAGCGTTTAATATTGTCATTTTTATCAAAAAGCAGTGCTAAGTATGTGGACATAGATTAGTCTCCCAAAATTTCTAAGTTATATAAGAATAAAAATAATTGAACTTTAAGGACTGGAATTTTTGACGGGTTCGTTGGTCTAATAGTAGCAATGTTTGCCTAATAATCATCGGGTCTTGAGATCGATCGCCATCGGGTCCAACATGATTCTAATTTTCTCAATTTTGAAACATGTTGGACTTCATCTGGAAATATTAAATGCGTGGTAGGAATATCGAAGTTCCGCCCTGATCACGGCCCACGGTCCACCGATGAATTATACAAGCCAAAATAAGTAGACACCACATCTTGTGTAGATGTTATATCGCTGAGGTACTTCACCTCCCATCAAGTGAACTCAGAGCTTGTCCTTCTCTATCTTAAAAGAATATGTTCGTTTCATTTGCTTTACTTTACGTGTTAAGTACTTTATTATAAACTTACTTGAGCCCACCAAGCTTCTTTGACATCGCCTTGGAGTGGAGGAGTCTTAAAACAATTACAATAATTATAATTAATGTCATATTTAAATAAAACACTTTAACGGTTTAAATCGCGATATATTAGTTACACTTATTTGAAAATGTCTCTCCGTGACCACGGCTGCTGCAAAGCATCCGAAACGTCGGGCCGAAGTCAAAAATCATTTTCAAATACGTTTAACTAATATATCGCGTTTTAAACCGTTAAAGTGTTTTATTTAAATGTGTACTACTCGTAAACTATAGACAGTATGTCTCAAACAAGCAAACGTTATTTTGTTCATAGCAAGAAAACTTTAAAAATTAATGGTAACAATACATTAATTTCAACTAACTGTGATGATGTTGCGATGTTAATCTCAAAAGATAGACATACACTATACATCTATCTTTTGTATATATACACTACACATGTTTTTATGTATATATACACGTTGAGATTCTTTTAGGTGATTTAAATAGGAATCATTCTTTCATAGACATTTTTTAAAATTCCTCGTTTGAAACCGTTTTTACAGTACACGCAACGAAAGCCCGCAAAAATGTTAATTTTCTCCATTTTCGCCACATTTCCCATTGTTTCTTCTCTCCTATTGGTCGCAGCGTGATTGTATATAGCTCAAAACCTTCCTCGATAACAGGTCTACCCAACACAATAATTTTTCGAACCAGAAGTTTCTGAGGTTAGCGCGTTCAAACAAACAAACTCTTTAGCTGTAAAATTAGTATAGATATGCTCAGGGCGCTTATCACAATGAACTAGTTTAAATATGAAATAACTTACTCCTTCATTCCTTTCTTCTTTTACCCCTTGGATGGTAAACTTGTTGTGTTTGTGTCTGTATCTGTCTGTACTGCTTGAATCGTAAGATTTCTGGAAAAAAAATGTTTTACTCGGAAATTTTTTATTTTGTTCTCTTTTTGAATCTCATTTACGTTAACTAATATATTTCCCTTTTTAAACCGTTGAAAAGTGTTCGATTTAACTACATTTTATAGTAAATTTGTGGCATTTTAACTTATCACACATCGCATTAATTCACAAGCAACTGGTCCCTGATAACAAGTGGGTATTATGTTTTTAATGATTCCTCGTCAATCAGACGCACAGACAAGAATTGGTTTCAGCTTGGGATAATGTTTTACTGCGATCGGAATCCAGTACCTCTTGTGCTCATCGTAATGTGATTATTGAGCCGAGGAGACAGATTCATGTTAAACTACAAAACTTACAGGTGGTAAGTATCACCTAAGAGTTACAATACCGAAATTCAAAGCCAACATAGGACGACAGCGCATTTTGTTTAGATGCTATAGGCCGAGGTATATCACCTACCATCAAGCGAACCCCGTGCCTGATACGTCGTCCTCTATCATAAAAATAATCTTTCTAGAATATTCAAGTAAACGTTTCCTTAATATGCATGGTATAATACTGACTTGGTCTGCTTTACGGAACCCAGCGTACGATTTCCTTTTCTTCTCCTTCTGTTTGTCTTTCAGCAACGTGGCTTTCTCGGGGTCTCTGTAAAGAGCACATGGGCAAGGTATAAAGGCTCATTATAAAGCTGAAGAGTTTGTTTGTTTGAACGCGTTAATCTCACGAACGACGGGTTCGAATTAAAAAAAATCTTTTTGTGTTGGTTAGAGCATCTATCGGGGAAGGTCATAGGCTATAACACATTGCGATGTGACTAATAGGCGCGAAGATACAGCGAGAAATGTGAAAAAAACGGGGGAAATTTTTCGTCTCTGTAGGTTTCAGATGCGTACGCTGCGAAACCGGTTCAAGATACCAAAAAATAGTGTATGAAAGAATGCTTTCCCTTTAAATGATCTAAAAAAAAGTCCGCGACGCTATATGTCTATCTTTTAAGATTAACTTGCAAGAACGACCCGAACGACGGGACGCGTACGACGGGATACGAATATCGTGGGTAACAGCTATTGTAATCAATCAAAACAATAATGTAAATAAAACACTTTAACGGTTTAAAACGCGATATATATTAGTTATGCATTTTCCAGCCCGTACTGGTTAATTAAATACTGACTATAGTTTACGCGAGTAGTACACATTTAAATAAAACACTTTAACGGTTTAAAACGCGATATATTAGTTAATATATCTAACTAACTAATATATCGCGTTTTAAACCGTTAAATTGTTTTTATTTAAATCTCGAGTTATTTCACACATACCATTTAATGAACTCTACGCTTATCCTCCTCGCGCCATTAAAACAAACAACTAATCCAAATATCAAAATAGCTTACGGTTGTTCTTTAGCTTTGAACGCTTGATTAAATATCTTCAGCACAGGAGACTGTGTCTCCTTGTTTTCCTTCTTCCCTTGGCTGTAAATAAATTATTATCATGTTAAAACACAAATGAAATGTTCTCGCACTTTTATGAACTAGCTGTGTCAGCGACTTCGTCCGAATAGAATAGTTATTTTGGGCATCAAAATATGATCTTGTAAACCCTCTTATCTTTATAAATCACAGCGACGTCGTCCGCGTCCCGTTGTTCTCGAAAGTTAACCTTAGATAGAGATAGTGTGGCGCAAATTTTTTAGAACATTAAAAGGGAAATCATTCTTTGATACATATTCTTTAGGTATTTTAAACCGTTAACTTCTATTTGTCTATCCTTTCAGATAACTTGCAAGAACCGTTTTTATGGTACTCACATTTAGTCGAAATTAATGTATCATAACAACAAAACAACGTTTGCCAGTTAAGTTACTGTAAATACGTAAATAATCTAAAATTACCTCCTTTTGCTTGTTCCCATGAGAAATAATAATAATACAAAACTGACAGAATAAAAGTTTAAAGTCAAAGATTTATGTGACACAATAGTCTAGAAGTACAAACGATGGCGGTTTTATTAAAAGATATTGAAAATATCAATATAAAGTGGAAAACCTGCTATATTATTGGCAGAAGAATACTGTCTGTAGTTAACGGAAGGAGTACCTACACACTTCAATAAAACACTTTAACGGTTTAAACCGCGATACATATTAGTTGAAATTAATTGAATTTTTGCTTTGCAGCAGCCGTGGTCACGACGGCGACGAAACGACGGGCCGAAGTTAAAAATCATTTTCAAATAAGTTATCTGATATATCGCGTTTTAAACCGTTGAAGTGTTTTATTTAATGTTTTAAACCGTTTTTTAAACCGTGTTTTAAACCGTTACAGTGTTTCATTTAAATTAATGGCAGACGAAGACTCTATCGAAATATGACCACACTAAAACAAAAATAAAAAGATGCGTAGGTACATAATATTTAATTTTTCCCCAGGGCTCGGCAAAAATTTCGTACTGGCAATTATTTCCCCGCAAAAGTACAACATCAAATATATTTTTATTGCCATGTACGTGTAGTAATGTGAGCAGGTACACGCAATTTCCTTGAGTGATACTTTTGATGCGAATTTTAGGGTACCGTCGGAGTAAAGTAGGACTATTAGTAAAGCTGTGTTAAGTCCTTTATATAAGTCTAGCTGTGCCAGCAACTTCGTTCGCGAGAATCGTTATTTTGGGCATCCAAATTAGTTTTTGCAAACCTCGTCATCTTTATAAACTTAAGCTAAGCTAACCACGACGTTGATCGCGTCCCTTCCCGTCGGTCTTGCAAGTTAATCTTAAAAGATAGACATATAGCGTTACGGACTTTTTTTTAGATCATTTTAAGGGAACAAACGCATTTTTTAAGTACCTTGAACCTACAGAGATGATAAATTTCTCCCGCTTTGTTCACATTTCCTGCTCTATCTTCACTTCGCAGTCGCAGCGCAATGTTTTATAGCCTTCCTCGATAAAGGCTCCAACCAACACAAAGTTCAATTCTAACCCGTAGTTCTTGAGATAAGTGCGTTCAAACAAACAAACACTTCAGCTTTATAATATTAGTATAGATTTAATTACAGTTTGTCATGTGGACTATTCATGGTGACATTTAAATAAGCTGAAGTCTAAAATTCAGTTCAGAGAAGATCTACAGTTCCACAGTTTTATTTTAAATTTTTCCAAAGAAATTACTACGGAACCACATTCGTGTATCCAATAACGCGCTTACCACTATTCTATCGTGTTTTATTAGTGCAGTATTTGAGATATGACTCAAATAAACATCTTAAAACGGTTTAATTCGGATAAATGAGTGTTATTTTGGCGATAAAATTACTTTTATGTATCTTTAACGGTATATCAGCGTTTTCTGAGACAATTTGGAGCTAAATAAAATATGGAAGTGCATGTAACGTTTAATTAAAGTGACATATTTCTATGTCCATTGTGTTATGATCATCTTTTGTCGCCCATTGATGCCTATCGGTCTTATGGTTGTAGCTTGTTTTTCAGGGAATCAAACCCGGGAGACCTAACGTTCATTGCAATGCGCGCAAAGAAAGTACAAGAAATAAGATGTAAATTACACATACATATATTACTTAATCAATGTTTAACTATGACCCGACGTTTTGGATGTTATCGTGGTCGCGAGAGAGATAAAGTAGAGATACATAAAAACTTGACGATAAGAGGAGTTGCGGCGAGTTTTTTGCCAATTCTTCTAGTTCGTTCTACGCCCTTAATTTCGGAACTCTAAATTAACATTACCAATAGAATGTTAACACAGACTTTTTAATTTTTAACCAACATGATTGAAATAATTTAACGGGTTTGTTGGTCTAATTGTAGCATTATATTGCTAATAATCGATGTGACAGGGGTACGATCCCCACCTGGTTCAATATGTTCCAATTTTTTTTTATTTAAATTTTTTTCTCAAACATCAACGTATGAAATCTGGATGTTAAATGAACCACCATCCACAGATGAAAAGACTGTAAAAGTTATCCAAATATATGTATATATCCAAAGCAAAAATAGGTCGACCGCGCATCTTGTGTAGATGTTATATGACTGGAGTATTTCGCCTACCATCAAGGGAACCCCACACTCATCTGTCGTCCTCTAATATTAAAATAATAATAACGTTTAAACCTATTTAAATAGTTTTATTTAATTACATGATCTTGTGTTTTCAATTCGAAAATCCTTTTTTAAAACGAATTCTATTTCTACACGTACATGTAGAAGTAACATTCAAGTAATGACGGTACACGACATGCGCATATTTTTAAAGTAGGAAGTGTTCCTTACAAGAAATACCCAATAGAGCTTTGCCAGGTTTTAAAATAACCTTGGTACGTACAATATTACGGCAGGAGGTCATAAAGTCTGGATCCGAATCTTGTACCCTAACCCTTGGGCATCATGCGACGTGTGTAATTTATGAGCGCCTGTCACTCACATATTAGCTGTTAGGGTTGCCACTTCACCATTTTATATTTAAAATTTTATCAACTAATTTTATAACAAACTTTTACGATTTTTTATTGTAATACAGGATTACAATTACTTGTATTGTATTTACCTGGTATAAGCAAATATAACTGTTTAGGGAGAAAGTACATTATTTAAAATTTACGTCACTCGAAAACATGCTATCAAGATTAACCTATGTTCAAAAATAAGAGGCTCTGTTAGCACATTTTTTTTAATTTATTACTATGCTAATAGTACTCTGCCAAAATCTAGCTAGCTACTATCGAAGATCTAAATCTAATGACTAAAATGATTATTATTGTCTAATTCACATAGAATTGTATGTCTATGTGTTAAGTTTTTTTTCAGCTTAAAAATTTTCTTATGAAATATTCTAAACATTATTTTCAATACCGTAATATTTCTCAATAGAAGCAAAAAATAACTATAATAATTTATACCACCACGCCTTGTCATTCCTCAATGGACATATGACATTGGCGAAATCCATTCATAATGGCATCAAATTAAGAAGAAGAAGTATCTGGGTCGAGTTGGTGAAAGAATAGATGGCAACACCGCGACCAATATATTTGATTGATATTTGCTTAAAATCCATTATAAATGTAGGGTAGACAACCCTATCACCAGCCATGTTTACACGGCTCACCTCAGCCGTTTAACCTCTTATTTTATTTATCAGTCGTCTCACATTTACATTCGATATGGGCTGAGGGGTGCTTGGGGTCAAATATACTTCCATCCTCGGAATGTGTTGTTCCGTTATTAGTGTTTTTACCTTAAGTTCGTAATTCCTAAACGAACATATAGTTTCTATATGAATTATGGCTATATCCTGCTGACGTGTGTCGACTGCAGATCCAGGGTTCGAATCCCAAAATGCTTTTATAAAATATTGTCTAATTATCAAGCGTTATCTCCTCCTCTATGAAGCAGCCGTGGTCACGAGGAGACATCGGACAGTAGTTAAAATTAATTAAAGACTAATTTAACCAATATGGTTTACGTTTTAAACCGTTAAAAGTGTTTTATTATAAATTTTAAATTATCAAACTATCTATTCATTACTAATCATTACTAACCCCGATTCACTCGCAAGCTCCATTCATCTAAATAAAATAAAGTAATAATCTACTAAGGCCCGTGAAAGTCACTACTTTTGTCGTCTTAGAAAAACAAAGTCTGATAGCGGTCCCACGTAAACAAGACTATCTCTAAATCCAAGGAAACACCTATAAGATAATTCAATTACAGTAATATTACTGGTGAACCAATATTTGCAGTGCAATGTTGTAAACTGCGCTAAAGGGTGAGACATCTTGGTGGTACAAGTTATAAGCGAATTGATCTACATATATGGTACAGTAGATCAATTGTCAGGACGTCTTTTATATTAAAGAAAGTACAATACAAATCCCTTTTAGTTTTATAGACCAGTTCTCTGAGCGAAAATAAAAATTATTCACGAAACTTAATTACCTGAGTTTCAGCACGATTGGCACTTTTTTGTGTTTAATTTTACATTAATGTTTTCATATACATCTAGAGTACGTCTAAGTAAATAAGTTTGTCGTAACTAGCGTATTATATTTGTATTTTGATAAGAGATAAACACACTCCGTTCCTTAAAGTGAAAGTCTTGCCGTTGGAAGCTATTGAACATAAATTATCAATTTTTATTTTGAATAGCTCTTATAATTTGGACCATACACCATCGATACATTGATAGCCCAACACGGATAAAATGTCAAGACATGTGTTTTTACGATTGTGTCTTTTTTACGTCCTTATTTAGGAACCCTGTTCTTATAGGTTTACAGGATCAACTACGGGTACAACATTATGACATTTATAATTAAAAAAGTATAAAGTACCCTATAGCGACAAATTATAGGTATTCTGCCTACATTTGCATGCAATAAAAAAAACTAATAACACGACTCTTTATATATTATTTACTTTTGCTACTTATAAAAAGCTGACATGTATTATTTATTGTTAATACATTAAAATCGATGCTAGAATTTTCCTTAGTCGCTTATAATTTCTAATAAATCAATAAAAAGTAATATTGAAATTCGTATATTTATTATTAATGTCCCACAGCTGGGCAAAGCTTTCATTGTACACTTCTCTGGTCCAATACAAGCTGGTGGTCTTTTACTATTAATAGTACTACGGACTAGATCGTATCAATAACGGAGACTACCATAAGACTACAAATTCCAAACACCTAACTAAAATTTCTTTCTAACCAAGAATCAAACCGTGAGACACATGAACTGCAGATGAACTAACCCCTGGAAGAACAAGGCAGCTCCACTGCATAGAACTAATTAAAAAAGTATTTTCTTTGTTGTAAAAAGCATGAAGAGAATAATTTGAGTTGCGTTGAAAAGGATATATTTGTCATATCTATCCCCTCCCCTTCT